CTAAACCCTTACACCCCTTAACCCATAAATCCTTAAAATCGTCTACAGCATTTTAGCGTCTAGTATCAGAAAGGCATTGGCATCCTAAACCTGCTCCACCTGTTGGATTCCCAGTGGTTTGCTAGAGGGCTTCTAGGGGTTTAGGGTTTGAGGATTGGGGTCTAGCATTTAGGTTTTGGGGGATTTCTAGGGGCTTCAGGGGACTCTTACTCCTACTAAAATTTGACTTTAAGGTGCCTGAACAGGCATATAGGGGAACCCCAAAAGCGAACGGTCTAAGGCTCTAGCTAAGTAACAGCGAGAAGGGGGACTACCAAGACTAGGGAAAACCATGGGGTTACTGACACTACGAAGCCAATCCGCTGGTTGTGCCAAGCATCTTGTAGAGCGGAAAGTGCTCATCGTACATCTTCTGGGCTTCGGCATCGTTCTTGTCTTCATTGAGCCTGTTTCACTTCACGATGTGCCAATGACACCTATGCATAAGACGCATAGCTCGCCTGAATGTGACAATTGCAACTGCCGCGCTGGGGCAACTTCTAGCAGCCCCAAGTCAACAGCTAAACCCTCAAGCCTAAACACCAAAGCTTGGATCAACTTCTACGTACCCTCGGCTCTTTTTCAAGCATCTTTGTATCTTGCCTGCCTTCGGGTTGCTGCGGCTAGGGGCTCGTACTTCATCATGAACCTTGGTCTTGGATTTGGCTTCGGGTCTAATTAATGGCTTACAAGTCATGTCATCGGCTGATATGATACTTCATCATGAACCTCGGTCATGCGGAGTATGCGGAATACTTTTGCCGGGTAGACCTATGGTAAGGATCTGCTTGGAGACAGAGGGACCGAACAACGTACGTAGTTTGGCGCAGATGCCTGGGGTGTATGCAGGAGCCTACAACACTGTTTGTTGGCTTCTTTTGTAGGTCCTATATGTTGGTATGGGGTAGGGTGTTTTTGATACGCGGCAGCGGAGTCACAACAGAAAGCAGCTGCGCCAGTTGCAACAGGCACAGTACCGCATGCACAAACGTCTTGTGCTGCTTGGTGCGGAGATGCCCTACACCGTACACCCTAAACTCTTTGCACCCCCCAAACTCACAACCCCCAAACCTAGGAGTTTAGACTGTAGCTCATATGGTTCAGCCAGAGCACTCTGTGGAGAAGTACTTCTTCTGGAAGGGGGGTTCGACTTCCTCTCAGCTCTTCTTAGGGTACTGTGAGGACAAATATGGTCAGGTTTAGGGTTGTGGGAAATGCTATGAGTTGTACTATATTTGCATAAGGATCTACCAGGGACCGGGGGCATCCGGATATGTAGAGGTCAAGACGTAGGGGCCTATTGAGTTCGAGTGGAGGCATCAAATGAAGAAGAACATGGAAAATCAAATGAAACTCGGGCTTCTAGCGACTGTAATCTGGGTTCCTGTTAGGTTAGTACATAGGGGAAACCCTATTATTTACTTTATATACCAATTATGGTATGCTAGTTTAAACCCTTAACAGCAGCCCAGTAATGTAGGGGCGTATCTATTTAGAATATGGTGTTGAGGGTATGCTATACTTGGCTTCCGTACGGATGACTATAATGGAGCAGTCTTGGCAAATACAACCTGGTAGCCCAAAACGGCCCTACAAGAACTAATCCCATCCCCCTAATAATCCAAATCACATTTGAATGGCTTCATACAGACTATATAGGTAGTATATAAGTAAGGGTAACAATGTTTTAGCCCACCCCTGTGTGTTCCCGGTAGCTTATCCCGTTCAAGAGGTCTACAAGCCCTCGTGAATTGCTGGTTGTTTGCAGGGCCTTACTCAGAACACCTACCAAATTGCAATACTGGCTGCTGGTGGCTAGGAACGGGGGAGTGATCCCTGTTGTAGCCCCTATACACCCTCCAATTAGATTATGGTTTCTATTTTCTGCTCCATTCCTTCATTCCATACTCCTCAACAGTAAACCCTAGACCCTGAACACCAGCAAGAAAGGAATGTCCTCAGCAGCGTTGAAGGGCGCCATGACTTCGCCGGCAAGAAACAAGGATCCTAAGCTCTTGTTTTATCGTTCACCCTTGGGGTTTGGGGTTTAGGATTTAGGGTTTAGGGCTTAGGGAAGCTCTTGTTTGTGGTTCGCCCTTGGGGTTCCATCGGGAAATGTAGGGTTATGTAGGATTTAGGGTGAAAAAATAGAAGCCAGTGGCTTAGGTGGCTTAGGGTTCTGAGTGTTGGGTTCAAGGCTTGTGTTTAGAATTCAGGGCTTGGGGTGGGGTTGAGTTCGGAGTCATGTTGCGGGGTGCCACGTACATTTCATGTGGGTGAGTTGCCGTCCTTTTCTCCAAAGTGGGGCGGTTGGTTCCGGTTCTACATGTAATTAGAGAGTAGTGGCACCCTCCTAAGGTATGGGGTGCAGTTCGGTAAATCGGCGCAGCTAGAATCCTGCAACCTGAGCCCTTAACCATGGTTCTCTTGCTTCATACCTCTAAGTGGCTTGAATCCTTTCCGGGGTGAGTGAGGCCCGCTCCAACCTCTCCTTGCTAAACTGCAACCCCTATCCGCAAGAAGTGAGGTGGAGACGGAAAATCTAAAATTTAGGGTATAGTGCTTAGGGCCCAGCAGGCCCACAAATAGAAACTGCAAAACGTCGTGGGCATTGCTGTGTTACCATAGTCCTCTCAAACCCTAAAGTCTCCCCATCCAAATCAGGTCCCCCCTAAACCTTAAACCCTAAATAGTAGTTTCCGCTTCTTTTCCATTATCCCAATATATCCCCAATACATGCCTTTGATAGTCTTCCATGTGCGTGATTCCCCTCGAAGAAGCTGTATACCGACAACACACATCACGCTTATAAAGAGGCCTGCACCCCCCAATAACGGAGAATCAAGTGGAAACGAAAAAAGAAATGAAACTGAAACTGAGATCAGATAGGGTTTTACATGAGCCATATCCCCCTTAATAGCCCCCATAGGAGTCCCCCATAGAATCCCCTAGGTAACCCCATTTGAGGAGTTGAGATTATAGCTCACAGGTGCCAAAATCAGGCCCGTTCAGTTGTGATTGTTGTCCCACAAGAGTCCTTAGTAGTTTCCTTTTCATTGTCCCTTTAGTCCCTACACCCTAGGCAGTACTTTCCATGTCATTCAATGTTTGTTTCCATTTGATTCTCCGTTATTAGGGTAACATCCCTAAATCCTACATAATCCCTACAGAATCTATTAGGGTAGTATCCCTAAACCCTACATGATCCCGACACAGTCCCAGCCCCGTGCCGTGCTACATCTCCTCAAGCCAAGCAGCAGTTCAGACGTCCTTGGTACGTGCGGCCCGACTAGCAAGGTCCGCACTGGATCGTATCCCTTGAGCTGAGAATTGGCCACGGAAGGCCCGGCGCTCTGGGAGACTGAAAGTTACTTGGAGTCGTGGTATGCTGCTATAAGTTCAGCTATATCTTAGGATTATAGATAACATATAAATGTCTATTTAAGAAAACTTCTCAAGGGTCTTGGGATTTAGGAGGTCTTGGAGCAAAATGAACACAGGTTATTATGGTGGAGCTCCTTACTGTAAGGAAGTGAACCGCCCTAAACCCTAAGCCGCTTCGGTCCAGTGGTTGAGGGTGCTAGGTTCGGATGCCGGTCCGGGGCTGACCAACACCCTGTCAGTCCCCCTCTCCCCCACCACCCCTCTAATAATACGTAATCTCCCAAAAATCATGGTATAGAACTATATTGAAGTATTCGTGATACAGGTTTGGGGGGGGGGCAATGCTGTTTATTACGCACAAAGCATCTAATTCGAGGACTGAAGGGGCCGGGAAGGAGTCTCGGAGTGTAGGGCTTCGCGCGTGAGTATTATGCAGGGACTGGGTTTGACCTAGAGAAGAAGAAGTGTATGGTGCTGCATAGATGTACATAGCATAAGGGTATATAGGGGTTTCTGGGGTTCAAGGATTCTACCCTAACACCAGGAAAATGGCAAAGATCAGAAAAATGAAAGCAACATTACTAGGCATAAACGGTAAACCTCATCGGATTTCGGACTGGCACTCTTATGCCCCGGACCTTTTTACAGTTATGCGGCGCCCCAGGGCAAAACAAAACTCAAACTTCGAACTCAAAGTATCTGAAATGTCCTCCCTAAACCGTACACCGTACACCCTAAGCCCTAAACCCTCACCCCAAAGTCTCAACCTTAGGCTGCAGGCTACCTGCAGCCTACACTTGGTACACTTGGTAGGGCTTTGAGGCCATTTGAAAAATGTTAGTATGTAGGGTCCTTATGAAACCAATGAGGGAGAATATGTAAATATCCCAGAGGCCAACCCAGTAAAACTCTATATCAACGAAGCGATCATTCCGATGTCCATTTGCTCCTCCATTCGATTCTGCAATATACCCCGGGATACAATTTACAAGGCGGAACCCTGGCAGACATTGAGCCATTCGGGGCGGGCGGACCATTCCAGAGCGTCGCCTGTGCCTGCAACATCTGGGCTATCACGGTTGAGGGTCTAGGGTTTAGGATTTGGGGCGTGAATAATGACCAATATCCTTTCGGGGTCTATTTAAGGTATCCTACACCTCAACTTGTCTAGGACCATGATATTGTGAGTTGCGTTGGCCCCTGTAGTAGGGTCTAAAGTTAGGCTTCAGGGCCTGCTGAAGACGGTGATGCTTTGCTTCGGGGGCGGAGGATTTGGTGTGAAGGGGCGAAATGGTAGTTTCCTGAAACCGATGGGTTCCAAAATACAACACTCCTAAGTATGGGGACCCCCGCAACCGAAAAGGTACCCCTAATTTTGGGCAACCAAAACCCCTATATAGCCCCTAGATACTTCCTATATGTCCCTACATAGCCCCTACAAACCCCGTGGTTGGAGCTGCATCACCCAGGTTGGAGGCCACCTAAAGAGGCAAAGAGAGCTTTAAAAAAGCACTTTCGGATTTAGGGGATACCAACTGCTCAGGCACTGCCCTGAAATGGCCCATGTGAGCATGTCCTTGAGCTAAAGCTGCCCGTGAGCAAAGAAACCAATGCAAAAAAAGAAGGGAGGAGCCAAGGAAGCTACCCTGAGAAAAATGCTGGGCCCTTGTGGTTACGCGAGGCGCCTTCTAAAAAGGAGTGCCCGGCAAAGGCACATGTTAACCTGCCGTGAACACTGAACAGTGATTCCACGAGATGGGGATTCAGCTCAAATCATCATCGTCACAAACAAAGGCATAATAATTACTATGGTACTAGTGAAGGCAATAATAATCATAGTTACAACAACATAAGAATGACATTAACAATGACCCCTTAGCAGCCCTCCGCCGACCCCGATGAGCCTGCACCCAGGACAGACAAGCCAATCCAAAGATGGACGAGGTCGGAAGGCACCATCGGTGAGCTAGAAATCTTAGAAACTTTTGGCTCAGGCTAAAAAACTTGGTGGTCAGCTAGAAATCTGGGAGCTCTTGGCTGGGGCTAAGAATTTTAGGTGTATGAAGAACTGAAAACCCATGTTGGCTTCCGTGAGCCTGCACAGAGAGTGTAAGGTGTGCCATGTCATGGTTCGACGGGGCTGGGGCCTAGGAAAGTCTAGGATTCAGGGTTTAGGGCTCAGGTTTTAAGAGTTTAGGGCTCTGGGGTTGCGGTCATGTGGCTCATGGTTGGCCTAAGCTCTCGCAGCTGGCTTTCCAAGCCACAAGCACCGACAGCCTCTTCCTCTCACCATGGCACTTAGCACCCCTACTGAAAGCTAACCTTTAGGTACCTGTAATCGGAACACAGTGAAACCCTAAAAAGTCAAGGGTCTAAAGTCCTAGCTAAGTGCCGAATAGCCTCTTCATCTTGCAAACTCAGCAGCATACTGGTTCTTAGTAGGGAAAAAGGGAATACCATGCATATATAATCCCTATGTAACATATTCCTTTTTTCCGTGCTAACCCTAAACCCTAGGGCCTAAACGTTAGACGCTCATTGTACTCCCCTATTCTCTACTAAGAACCGGTAAAGAACAGCACTGGAGCCCTGATGACATAAAATAATAAACATGAACTCCTCACTAAGGAAAAATTAAGGACTATACCCCTCAGTAAGGCTAATATTGACACTAGCTCATTTGAGTAGACCCATACCAAGAAATACAGCATGTTGGGCTTCCCAAGTGGTGCAAGCGTTCCTCCATCTACCGTTGCTTTAATAATATTTTTTGATAGTATACATTATGGTCCATTATGGTATATCATAGTATACTACATTATACATTAAAGTATGGATTCTAGATATTAGTATCAAAGCCCGAAACTCCGACCCACGTTTTTGGATGCCATCCATGGTCTCAGGCGCAGTCGGGCTCTCACTTCTCGTCCTGTGTGCAAGGCCAAGTTGCCGGCAGTTGGCAAGTAGGGAACGCAGGACTTCGTCGTATGGGGGGTCAATATTTGAACGGTGGCAGCCCTTGAAGGGTGTGAAAAAGTGGGCCTGTGGTTCATATCGCGGCCTAGGAGATTACCTGGTTCTAGGTTGGTCTGCTAGCTCTCTAGCCAAAAGACAGTTCAAGTGTTCAGGGTGGAACTTATGGCTTAAGGTTGCAAAGCTGCCGTGAAAGGCTCGCGGCTGGAAATGCGGACTTACAAAAAGACTTACGGCCCTCAATCTCGCTAAGAACTCAAGAGCTGAATAGAGCGGCTGGATAGGTTGGCTCGAACGGTTTAGGGTCTAGAGACAGACCTAAGAAAGAGCTTGTTGAGCCTTTGTTTGGCCATGCCCGATTCAATGACAAACCAGGATATGATGGTGCACAGGTCCTGTTCCCCGGAACCCAAGAAATTCCGTACTTGTGTTAGTCTGAGAACACCAGGGTCCTTCTTGATGAGGTAGGTCAGATGGCACTTGCCGCAGTAATAGCGGTTGAAGTGCATCGCCATGAACACCCCTGGCACTGGCTCCAATAGTTGATTAGTGTAGCCCACGGATAGCCTGAAAAGACAGACGCCCTGGCTGCTTTAGAGCCTATATCTTGGAGGCGGCATCAAC